AAGAACTTTCTATTGTATTAGATTAAAATATACATCATCAGAATGCCTTGCTCCAATAGCTCACGAAATGTTCAACGAAACATTGCTGGCAGGCTCTTTCTTCTCTCCTCCAAATCCTTTGCGTTCACCGGATGTCCCGTCCTCTTGAGCAGGCTACATAGCCCAGTCATATTAGATTTTAACATCAAACTAATTGCAGCATAAGATTTCTCTACATAGAATATTTCTACAGTCAATCCCATGTCATTTGCATACATTTACCAATATGTCCTGTATGACGTGTCGTGGGATACTCCAGTTTCGAGTTCTGYTTTGCTCTGTGTTAGCCTCAAAACCAAGTAACATATTCGTTTGTTTTATTGATAGCCTGAGAAAAGGCATGAAATTTGAAAAGAAAGACAATAGAATTGATTTGAAATCTCACATTTTTATTCTCGCAATTAGGAATATTTTGCGCAAAAATGAGGCTAACGCAGAGCATTGGAGAGTTCAAAACCGGATTATTGGAAACTCTCCTGATAACTGATTGATGTGCAACCCCTGCATGTGCAATAACTAATTTGTGGGACCCCTGTTTGTAGGTTCGTACGATACGATTGGTTGGTATGTTTTTACTGGTATATGCGAGAGAAGAGCATATGTCTTACATCAATGGAGTGGATGCCGTTTGTGTTGGTACAGGAATCATGGGAATGATGGTGAGTACATCATGACAAGCCAACGATAAATAATACACTAAACTTAGCGTTAAAAAGAATATTTATTTTTTGAGAGGAAAGAGCCTACAATCAGAAGTTGTTTGGTGGCAATATTCGCCAATCAAAGGGAATTCAATGAGATGGATTGTTTGTGGATTTTTGTTTTTGTTTTTTGACTGGGTGTCATGTGTGAATATTGAATACTCACAGTTTTTTTTAATATATTTTTGAGGCCGGTACACAGAAGGGAGTTTGCTCCCGCAATACGCTTATGCAACAATACCCTGGAGCTTCATCCCTAATATTTAACCAATTTGATCGAGAAAGCGAAATTCTGGAGCAAAAGTTTTGTAGAACAAGGTTTTTTTTTCTCTTGAAATGGTTGGCGCAGATAAGGGGGGATTTGATCCGGGAGTAAGGATATTGTGCGTGTTAGTCTCACGTTTAGTGGCTCTTTAAATGAACACATACATCATAATTGCCTTCTTTGATTTTGAACTAACCAGTAAGACTCTTTCAACAAAATATCAATTTTAAAACAAAGCAAACAATCACAACGGTTCTTGGATGCACTTGGTCCTTTGATTAGCATAATACAAGGGACTGGACAGACAGACAGAAACGTTTATTTACACTGAAGAGTTTCATGGTCTTAATCAAAATGTCTAAATATACTTCCTTTGTAATCAAAAGATAGAGACAACAAGATCAATTAATATCATTAAGCACAGAAAGACAATTGATTGAGAAAAGCAGATTGAGAGGGAAATTACATGAAGCATAGTAATCGATAATCGTTATACAACAAGTTATTTTGTCGTTTATTCTTAGTGATAATCAGGTTACTCACAATATTCCAGTCAGCTGTATTAACTTGTAATATGGATAATAATTTAGGGTAACAAAGGTGGTGTTGCTATACGAATGGATTTCCACAATACAGCATTATGTTTCGTCAATTCTCATCTAGCTGCACATCAGGACGAGTATGAACGGCGAAACCAGGTACATTACTCCAGTAAATAGCATTTACTCTAGAACATTCTGCCATTATTGAAACTGAAAACATTGAACATACTCTATACACT